GAGCTCTGTGAACAGCCAGCCTCTTTAGCGATGACCTTTTGTGTCTTGCCCTCCTTGTGCAAGGTGTCGATGGTCGTCTTTTGGACAACTGTCAAGTCAGCAGYCTTCCCCATGATTGTGTAGCCTATAGAACTAGACTGAAAGACCATTTAAAGGCTTTTGCAGGTGGTTTGAGTTAATTAGCTGATTAGAGTGTGGTACCAGGTGCCATCCATTTTGAACCTTTTCACAAGATTCTAATTTTCTGATATGCTGAATTTGAGATTTTCATTTGTTGTCATTTGTAATCATCAAAATTAAACGAAATAAACATTTGAAATATATGAGTTTGTATGTAATGTATGAATATAATATACAAGTTTCACTTTTTAAATGGAATTACTGAAATAAATCTACTTTTTCATGATATTCTAATTTTATGACCAGCACCTGTAAAAGTTGCCTCTGTGCTAGGAAACCAACACATTTCAAGTGTTCTACTGTGAAGGCCAAATGCATGGCCAATGGCCATACTCCATTAAAGTCGGTAACTCTCATGTACATTCATTTAATTTATTTATTCATTCAAACACATTAAACTGTATTTTGCAATAGAATGTCATTTGTTGATTTTAAATACATTTGTTCTGTTTGTAAGTGTGCACATACTTATGTATTGTTATCAACTCATTGTTTGGTTTGGTTGTGCTTTTGACTAATTATTGTTTATTTTACTGGTTTCTTACCTGCTGTGATCTCTGGGAGTTACCAGACAAAAGATGGTGGCCAGGGCTTGACACTTAACTGCGGCAGGTGGATAATTGGACTGCACCACCAGTTCCTGCTGAAGAAGGGGGACCTTGTACATTTTTTGTTTAAACATGCTTTGTATTTAACTGTATATTTGCATTTAGAGTTTAATATATTTGATGTTCTTCTTTAGAATTTAGTTTATTAGCAAACTGAATTGTACTGTGTATTTTTGTTGTAGTTAGTGATTGTATTGTGTTGTGTTAGCCCTCATGTGTTGTAATGGTCTGATCAGCCAGAGTGCATATAAACCCTTGTGTGTCATGTCTCAGAAGGTCAGTTATGTTTTGTTGTGCAGTCAGTTTGGTCACTTTTTTGCCTGAGTTCATTTTGTTATGTTGGCCTCTTTTATGAGCTCAGTATTTAGTTTTTGTAAATATGATTTTTTGGGTTAAAATAAAAACTCTATTTTTCTAATAATTCCTGTGACTCCTCCTGTTTCAACTCGGCCCATCACATCTACCATTTCTGCTAAGAAGATTGGTCCAATATCCAGCCAGTTATTTATTTATTTATTTATTTATTTATTTGCTGTTATTTTACCAGGCAAGTCCCATTGAGATCTCAGATCTCTTTTTCAAGGGAGGCCTGGGTCTGAAGGCAACATATTGTACATGTTTTGGGGGGTGGGGGAAACCGGAGTACCCAGAGAAAACCCACGCAAGCACGAGGAGAACATGTAAACTCCACACAGAAAGACCCCAGGTCCGAACCGAGGATCGAACCCAAGACCTTCTTGCTGAGAGGCGTCAGTGCTAACCACTGAGCCGTCGTGCTGCCAAACTTTATGCCAGAACCTTGCTGAAGGTGTGTGGTTAAATCAYATTTTGCAAATGGACATGTACCCAAAAACTAGTAGGGGTACTTAAATACATATTTTYGACTTAAATGTACATTTTTGACCCTCTAGGGAACAGAAAAATTCCACAATAAATTCACGCTGTGCATCTGCTTCAACTCTCTGATTAGACCTAAAGAGCAGAGAGGAGAAGGAGTGCTGTTTCTATACGGTGGCGTCTTCTGTCTCAGTGAGGATCTGTGTGATGGGTCTGACGGCTGCACAAGTCTTCTCACGGAGCATTGTGGTCAAAGTTCAACTTTGAGCATGACAAGTGCAGTGTGAAGCTCAGTAGTTTGCAGAACTTACGTTTCACTCTAGTGCTGCATGAGTTAAAGAGCACAGCAGCATCACTGGTGCTTTCAGCCTGGGAGCCCCTTCATATTCAGTTCATTCAGCTCACAACAAAGTTTCTTTTAGGATGCTATAAGACAGTATTACGTTCAAATCATCACAACTTATATGCAACACAGTGCTGTATGTATGCAATTATGGTTACACACATTAATCAATTCAATCCAGTTTAATTAGGCCCAGGCCCAACATATTATAAAATGTTAATAAGAAAAATGTTGTCTACATAAAAACCCAGCATGAAATTTCTCCCTTTTAGAGAGAAACCCCATCAGAACCAAAGCCAGGCTCAGAAAGGACAGCTCGGCTTTACATAAGTACAAATGTTGGTTAGCTGTACTTGGTTTATTATTTTTCAGACAAATTTTATCTTCTACTCATTTCAAAAAGAAAAAAAAATAGGTCCTCTGTACAGGTTCTTCTTTAATGAAACGTTGCGGAGAATTCTTCAGTCTGAGGGGTTCAGGTGAACTCAGCCTTATAAGCACTGCCTCGACATAGTGGACCCTCTATGAACAACAGAGCCAATCATGGCATTAACGACCTATTTGGTTGATGGGTCTATTTTGCATGTGACTAACCTGTTTGTCCACCATGTGGAGGCAGTGCTTATGAAAAATAATAATAATAATAACAATAATTTTACTTGAAAACCACCTTTCAGGACACCCAAGGACACTTGTAAGTGTCCTTGGGTGTGCTTATAAAACTTAAGTGCTTGTAAGGCTGAGTTCACCTGAAACTCATCAGACTGAAGAAGTCTCTTTGAGGAGAGATGAAACTTTTCATTAAAAAGAACCTGTCCAGAGGACATACTTATTTTTTCTTTTTGATTTTTCTACCTGGATTACTGAGATGCATCAGGACATTCTACTCATTTCATTTTCATGGAATTATCTGTATTTGTACGATGGAGTATTAGGACCATACAATGAGATTTTTAAAATATTTTTTTAAATTACGAGAATAAATTCTTAATATTTTGACATTAAAGTCATATAAAAACAAAGTCATAATATTATGAGAATAAAGTCGTAATTTTACGAGATTAAGGTCATAATAGTATGCAAYTAAAGTCGAAATATTACGAGATTAAAGTCATAATATTACAAGAAAAAAGTCAATATTCTAGCCTTTACACGAAAAAGCATGCAGTTACCACAGCATTAAAATGAGGAATGTTGAGCAACTTATCAAGTAATTGCTTAAAATAAAAATTTAATCTTTTAGCACAGAGCATCTAATTATCAGAAGCAGGACTTGTAAATTGTGCAAACGACTGTAAACTGAAGCTGTATTGTAATTAATGGATGCATTGACAGATTTAGCTGTAGCTAATTTGGATGAAAGCATATTAATCTAACAGTGACCCAGCTCATCGCGGACTACTTTACAAACACAGACACATAGCTGCCCAGGTGTGGGGAAAATAAGGAGGAAATGAGGAACGGAAAATAGACACGTCATATAAGATCATGACTTTTTTTCTCGTAATATTATGACTTTAATCTCTCAATACTATGACTTTATTCTAATAAAATTACTACTTTAATCTCACAATATTATGACTTTAATCTCGTAATATTATGACTTTATTCTCATAAAATTACGACTTTAATCTCGTAATAATAATAATTTAAAAATATTTGTTGTGTGGCCCTAATACTTGGTCGTAGTTTTGCCTATTCCTTACAGTTTAAAAATAGCGTAGTTCTATTTTATTTTGGCTTGTTTTCATTCTGACTTTGTTATAGTTTTAGGTCAGGTTTTATTTTTATTTTTGTTTTCATCTCATGTCATGTGTTTTTAGCAGCTCTTGTTCTCAACCTTGTCACAGCCCTGCTCCCCCTCCCTTCACAGATCCTCATTTAATCAGCTCATGCAACTCACCTGTGTCCCTCTGTATTTAAGCCAGCCGTTTCCCTCAGCACTCTGCCAGTTTATCATCAGCCAGTCTATGATTCACCAGCACTCTTGTCCCATGTCCCGTCCCGTCCCGTCCCGTCCCGTCCCGTTCTGGTCTTGGCTCCTCGACCCCCTTCTCGTCCCTTGGATTACCGTCTCTTGCCTCAGCCCGTGTCCGATGCCATCTGCTCCTCTGGTAATGACCCTGGTTCTGTTTCTCGGACTCCTGCCCCTCGTCTCTCCCTTGCCTGGCACCACGAGACCTAAGACCTCCTAGTTCTCGACCCCTGCCTGCCTCCCGGATTCAAGAGTTAAGTTTGCTCCTCTTAACCTGTCGTATTCTCTGATCCCTCTGTGTATGACCCTCGCCTGTCCCTGGACCCCAAACCTGTTTCTCGGACCCGCAACGCTCCCAAGGATTGTCGGTGACATCGTGTTGCTCCGGAACCAAACAGACAGTTGGTGTTTCCACACGGTGGCTTCCAGTTGACACCAGGTTAGTAGCTAAAAATACTAGCAGTATTTTGTCCCAGAAACTTCCAGCCACTAACCTGTTTTTTCTGTGTCCAGAAAACCGGACCCGCGCACCTGGGTTGTTCCAGCTCCACACCAGCAATTTTAATAAAACTGTAAACCTTTATCTGTTTTCGGGTTTTTATCAGAGCTCAAACTCAGATCCTTAACAGATAAACTGGCCATCGATATGAGTTTTGAACCAGATTCTGCCTGGAAAGCTGGTGTGGAAGGAGCTATAAATAAATTAGAAAACACAGTAAATGAACTCTGTAATGCTACTAAAGATATGGCTCTGAATCCTGATAACCCTGCTCCTTGTCAACACCCTATACCACAACAAACTGGTACCAATAGATCTGATCCAGTTTACCAACCCAGGTTAAGTCCTCCAGAGGTTTTTAGAGGAGACCCAGAACAATGTCAAGCTTTTCTTACTCAATGTGAGACCCATTTTCAACTTCAACCCTCCTCAACTTCAACCCTCCTCTTTCCCCACAGACCGAGCTAAGGTGGCCTACGTCATTTCCCTCCTCTCTGGCAAACCCAAATTGTGGGGGATGGCTGAATGGCAACGGGACTCTCTTTTTTTTTTTGTTATGTTACCAGGATTTTGCTCGAGAGTTGCTGAGGGTGTTCTGTCCCATTTTACCCCACAAGGAGTCCACCAGAGGATTACTGAACCTCAAACAAGGTAATAAAAGAGTAACTGAATTCATCAATGACTTTCATACACTGGCAGTTGACAGCAGATGGAATGAAGAGGCCCTCCAGGATGTTTTCCTCCAGGCACTTAATGAAGACATCAAAGACRAGTTGGCAGCCCGAGACCCTCCTCAATCCCTACGTGAACTTGAAGATCTTGCCACCCGGATTGACTTGAGGTTACATGAGCGAAGACACACTAAAAAAGGTATCCCAAGAAATTCTGATCCCAGTCCTACCTACAGGTTCACAACACACAACCCCATCACAGAAGGCAGAGGCGCATCGAACATAGTTGAACCCATGCAGATTGGCAGATCGAAACTCTCCCAAGAGGAAAAGGAGCTAAGAATGAGAGAAGGACTGTGCTTCTCTTGCGGGGAGTCAGGTCACCTTTTCTCTTGCCCTCGTAAAAATCAAAGAACTTCCAGGAGTCGCATCCTGAGTCCAGCTTCAGTCAGTCACACTCTACTACAGATACCTGCAGAACTATCTGTCAGAGGGAACCATTATGAGAGCGTTCAATTCTTGGTCATTCATACCCCCCAACTACCAATCGTTTTAGGAGCATTTTGGCTGCAAAAACACCAACCCTCATATTGATTGGGTAAATGAAATTGTAGACTGGTCTAAAAGAAAAAAAAATTGTATAGGTCTTCTGGACGGGTGTAGAGTGGTCTGAACAGTGCTTGGCTAATTGTTTATTAAATGCTACTTCTTCTGAGAACTCATGTCACTAAGGAACCAAGTCCTGATTTAACAAGCCCCATCTGTTTATCATGATTTAAGAGAAGTGTTCAATAAAAGTAAAGCGACTCTCTCCCTCCTCACAGGCCCTATGACTGCCCCTTAGATCTCCTTCCAGGTTCTATCCCCGCAGGGGGAAGTTGTATTCGTTGTCCCAACTAGAAAATCAAGCCATGAGGGATTATATTGAAGATTCACTTAAATCTGGTATAATATGGCCATCCTCTTCTTCTGCTGGGGCAGGTTTTTTCTTTGTAGAGAAGAAGGATGTGTCTTTGCGCCCCTGCATTGACTATCGAGGCTTAAATGAACTAACCATCAAAAACAAATACTCTCTACCTGGATTCAAGAGTTAAGTTTGCTCCTCTTAACCTGTCGTATTCTCTGATCCCTCTGTGTATGACCCTCACCTGTCCCTGGACCCCAAACCTGTTTCCCGGACCCGCAATGCTCCCAAGGATTGTCGGTGACATCGTGTTGCTCCGGAACCAAACAGACACAGTTGGTGTTTCCACACGGAGGCTTCCAGTTGACACCAGGTTAGTGGCTAAAAATACTAGTATTTTGTCCCAGAATCTTACAGCTACTAACCTGTTTTTTCTGTGTCCAGAAAACCGGACCCGCGCACCTGGGTTGTTCCAGCTCCACATCAGCAATTTTATTAAAACTTGTAAACCTTTATCTGTTTTTGGGTTTTTATCAGAGCTCTAACTCAGATCCTTAACAGACTTGTCATTGTTAAAAAAACTAAATGAAAACATCCAGGTATGGCACTTCCCAGACATAGTGAATTTAATTGTGATTGGATGAGAAGTATAAACATATACATTCCGATGTGATCTGCACATGGCCTTTAGAAAAATGTTTTTTTTTTCAGGGAGGTCACCTCCCAATAAAAGCCATTTTGGAAATTCTAACTCACTTTTACTCAGTTTTTAACTTCAGTACAATTTATACCAGAAATTTGCAGTACAGCAACTGTCAGATACTTTAAGTCTTTTACTTGAGTAATTTCCTTACCACAATTTAACTTTTATCAAAGTCATTTTATGTTAAGATAATTGTACTTTCATTCAAGTATCATGCAGGTACTTTGTCCAAGACTGCCAACGTACAATTTTAGATGCAATTTCTATTATTTTGGGCTGTATTTTGCATAATATAACAAACAGAAAAGGTCTATAAGTCATTTAAAAGTCATTAAACAGATAAGGCCTTGGCTCCTGATATCACTTTCTTCTACAGCTTTTCTGTTTTTCATCAAAGCTCTGCGCTGCCACTTGTCTCATATCTCTGCTGCATATAGATCTCATAAACTGCGTCAGACACACTACTACACTCCAGTCAGATGAAAAAAAAACTCTCTAAAGAATGCCTAATTGGTTTTTATTGACTTTAGCGGCGGSAACAGATATTTTGTGATAGTGTAATGGCAGAAGATTAGCTCCTCATGCGAGGCTTGGTAATAACAGGCGAGGTGGAGAACAGCTTCATAGAAAGCCATCACATCAGATAAGCACTGTAAGCAATGTGATTATGTGGATAGTGGTGTAATCTGAGCCCCATTAATATGTTTAATTGTAAGMATTTGCAACAGCCCTGCAGCTCCCATCCACGATGTCTTTGGCAGTCGTGCACAGTGTCATTTCATAAAACGCTAAGCTAAATTCTCTGACGGCAGGCAGCAATTGTAATGTTCTTATGTTTATATTGGCACGCTAATAAAGGAGACATTGTGACGAAATTTAAAATTCTACCAGCTAGAGAGGTAGTAAACGCATTCTGGATGAGTTGTAATACCTTTCTTTTACTCATTAAACTGCATCATTGTTTTCCTCCCCCCAAAAAATCTCATCTTCTCACCTTTTTTGTGTTTCTTCCCTTCGCTTTGTGAACTGGCAGCAGAGTTACTTATTTGTCCCTTTTTTACCCTGCACAYCTGAATGCCCCATCCCTTCTCCTATTCATTCCTTGTGTTTGTCATCAGATGAGGGAGTTAAGTGAAAAAAGGCCTGTCTTTACTTCAACCACCTCCCTGTGTATTTGTCTCCCCTCCGTCTCAACTGACAGGGAGGCACAGCCYCAGAAATCAACTTTTTTCCACCCCATCTATCCCCAGTTATTGTTTGTGCCTCGTCTTGCTATTGATCTCCTTCCTGCTTCCTTACTCCCCCTCTGCTCCTGTTTGCATCTTTTTATCCACCCTCGTTTCTTTTTCATTTCGTCCCCACTCTTTTGCCTGTGGAAGGGAGCGTTAAAATATGTGGATGGTGTGTCGATGTCTCCCTGGGAGTGGAAGAAAAACTGTTTGTGTTTGTTTCTCCAACTAAACTCTATTTGTTTCTTCTTTCACTTCAGACTGTTTGAGCTGGATCCGAGTGGGGCATGCCCTGTACAAAACTACTGGGGGGATGCGGGGGTCGTTCATAAAAAGGTTTTAAACGTGGCACAATCGTGCTTTGTGAAGGAAACACCCGTGGGCATCCGAAAGTCGATCTGTTTTTGTTTCCTCCCTGCTTGTCTGTGTCTTACAGACATTAGCTTGGCAGGCTTTGTGCGCGTCTGCACATTTTAGGGTTCTACTAGAGAGCAGAGATTGGCAATGACGCAACTAAAGGCAAGTATTCACAAAAGCCGGCTGACTATGCCCCCCCTCCCCCCCAAGCTAGTCCTGGAATCTCCAGCTGCACAAACTGAAGAGCTTCTTGCATGTGGCCAAAAACCTAGCTGTGCGTGTCCTGTTGCAAAGAGCAACAAATATCTGTGTGTTTGAATGAATTCTGTTGGTTCGGTTGGATGATTTATGGTGTATAAATCTATTGTTTAGAGCACACAACAACAAACAAACAAATCAAACTTATAAAAATGAAGCCTGTAAAAACAAACTGTTCGGATGYATTAAATCTGCTTTTGTACTTGGTTAAATCTACGTGTTTTTGCAATCCGTTGATAGGAACCGTATGTGCAAAATGCACATTTGTGTCTCTTAAATGTGTTTGTCAAAGGTAATGCCTCTAATTGATGTTTTGTTTACTCAGACAAAAGAACTAAATTGAGAGGAGGGGTGCACAACATCTTTTCTGTGTTCTCATCTCTGACAAGTGCCCGTAMTTTTCCAACCTTCAGCTGGTTCACTTACCAGAAAGAAAGAGGATTTCTGCTTTTACAGAGCAAAGCAAGTCTGTAATCTTTGTCACTTACAGATTCCAGCCATTCTGTCGCTGACTTGATGTTATTTGTAGATGAGACAGAGACGTCGTCATCATATTTCTTAATTTAAAAGGTATATTATGATGAATTGTTGATATGATCTTGTCAAAGTGGCTTTAAGTTTTTAAAGAAGGGGAGCCACCTTGTTCTAAATAAAGGAAATGTTTTTAAATTCATTGTGTGATGTTTAGCTTCTAACTACACTGCATCAGTACTCGGGATCAGTATTCCTTTTCAGCAAGAACCCAAAGTGAAGTATTTGTATTCATACTTGTTTTAATACAAACTGGTATCACAACACCMCTAGATCAACTGATTGTGGAGTAAAATTTACCAGAAATTTATCAAACTCATTGGTTGTGTTCAGCATAACAGTCACTGTATAACAGACTAAAGTGATGGACAACAAAATGACTGAGAAAACATATTTAAACTCATCCGATTAAAAATATATGTGACCCATTATAWTGAAATGAGGATTAAGTCAAATTTGGTCAAAATGACCTAATTACATTTTCAGATTCTTGGCTTTAAAAGCTACATTTTGATACCTGGATCATTCTGATACCACAAGTAAATCCATATATATGACTTAATTTGTCTTGTTGGTTACAATAATACATAAATATTTGGACTGAATCCTAATTTTGTGTAATTTTAATGAGAATTTTTTGATGTATTATAAAGAGGAAACCTCAAATTTTATTTGAATATTGAGCTTTCCCAGCTGGAAAGAAAAAAACATTACTAGCTCAGAGGTAAAATCTCAAAATTTAAGGCGCTTTTCCTCAATCAGTTTATTTTTTTTTGTTGCTACTGCTCAAAAAAGTACTTCAAATTTTAGTTTTATGATTCTATTTCAGACAACGCATTCAAATCATACATTAATAAGGCATTTACTCATTATATTTTGATAAAATGCAATTTTTGTTTTTAATTTTAATCAAAACACTATATTTGCCTATTTCTCCATATACCACTTTTAGACTTAATCCTCGTTTCAATGTGATGGGTCACATAAATTTTTCCTGTGACGACCTCATACTGCTGGGCTGGCTCTCTTTAATGCTGTGTGTTTCAGATGCACAGTGAGTAGTGCTGGTCATGAATGTGTTCGGATCACCTGAACACCCAGTGTTCCTGGTATAAAAGCTAACTGCACTCAGGTTGTGATGCACACGTTTTCTACATGACACCTTATGCNCCTTATGCACTATTGTTTCACTCCTGCCTGCAGACAAACAGACTGACTGATACATTCTAGGTCATTATTCTTAATTTGGTTTTATTGAGTGAAGCTAAAAATAAAGTTATATTGCTWTTGCTTAAACCATGTGTGCTGCCTCCCTTCATGGCTCTGAGCCTGTTGTAATAATACACGTTGTGATCTTGGTTTCTTTGCCTTTTATTTGGTAGACTTGTCATTGTTGTTTTGGATTCTGTTTATCTAGTCATGCTGTTCATTGTGTTTTCTTTCGTTTTTTACTTCCTTGTTTTGAGATACATTGTGTTTAGTTTCCTACATCTTCTTGTGTCGTGTTCCTTCTCATTACTTCAGTCAGTCTTTCTCTTAATTTCTCACCTGTTCCCAGTTCACTAATCAAATCAGCTGTCTCTGTTTGTAATCACTCCTCCCAGCTTATTTAATCCCTCATTAGTTCGTCATACTGTTTGTTTGCCTGTCATTCCCTTAGGGTTTGCTCCTTAGGGTTTTGTTACTCTTATATTTTCSACGCGGCCAGTGTTTTCTCCACCTGCAGTTTCCTGATTGGCCAGCAGCTACTTTTGGCAGCAGCTGCAGTTGATTCCACTGATGATCTTGTGAGCTTCAAAGGCTGTTGTGTTGATCTGGGTCCGTATTTATCAAACTTCTTATGCTGCGTTCACACGAACACGATTTCAGCTTCAAAATCTCATCAAACGCTTCAAGTTGGACGCTTGTGCACTTTGAGGTCAGACGCAGGTCAGCTCTTGAAGCGCTGCACRGCAACAGCCTCCCCGCCCCTCCCTCCTCTGTCGGGCTCTGTTTAATGTCGGACGAGGAAGTGGCTTTGCTTTATTTACAGAGAGCAAGAGCATGTCACGTTCATCAGATGATTAATTCATAATTAGTTAATCAGATAATTCAGAGTAGAGACTCACAGCTCGCTTTCAGGACTGTTTTTGTCCCGAGTCCAGTCTGATGAGCCGCTGCCACGCATTGGTGCGGATATCTCCTGTCAGGACACCGACTGCAGGCACTCGATTTCAGCTAAAGAGCTCCTCTCCATCTGTTTCAGGTTAGTGGACATCATTCAGTAAACTGTCCCGTCGGGAAATMTGTCGCTACGTCACACAGTGGAGTCTCTCTGATTGGTTGATGCTGCGCATCGAGCTGCAAAAGTTCAGATTTTCTAACTTCAGCGATTTGCACCTCAGCACGTCGAACGCTCAGATCGTTCAAATCGTTCAAATCGCGCTGCTCTAA